AAGACTCTTTTTGCCAGTTGCCTTCTAATCCACAGAAAGGGAAAATCTCTTACGAGAAAATTCAGTAGCTCAAGTCTTAAATGTGTATGTATTTGGAAGAAGTTTGGTAAAGAAAGGAAGATTCTGCTTCAGTAGGACACCTCCAAGTTAATTGGCTCCTACAAATGAATTATGTAGAGCTTTTCCTTTTGCCTTGCACCTGTTCAGTGACTTAATGCTGGCAGACCACAATTACTGCATGAGTAAAGAGCTCTGACACATTAGGTCTTTGCAGTTTGGATAGCCATACTATACACCAAACGTCTCTGCATTGTTCTCTGAACTGTAAGAGAGCAAAACTGAATAACTGATCACTGTCTCTGGGGACCTCACCTTCTTCATGTCTGGGTAGAAGTTGAGGTGCTTACAGTCAGTGTAGCACACTAGCTCTCAAACTTTTCTGTGTTGCTCATGCCTTTGTTGCTAAAGGAATCTGCTAATTGGGGTAGTGGTGGGTTGGGTAGGAAAGATATTTTATCAGAAGAAATAAAACTGGAAAAGGTGACAATGCCCTTGTTGAGCAGAAGAGGTGCTAAAGGATATTGCTTCATGCAGTGCAGTCTTGTTGTCATCTCCCATATGGGACAAAGGACATAGCATGGCTGCTTCTGGACAGAGGTGGCCCACTGAAGCAGTATCTGTGGCCCTGCTGCCTGTTACATTTGTGACCAGTGCATGTGGTAGGCCCTGCTTCTTTCACAACGAGAAAGGCAGAACAAGGTAGAGCACCTGTCTGGACTGGAAAAAAAAAAAAGCATGTGTTAGCAGCAACCATTGCTACTTTCCAGTAAAAGATGGAGTAGTAAGTAGTAAGTGCTTAACATCTCTTCTATTTTCTTCTTTCCTTTTTTATCTTTTGTCTTCATAGCAGGATCAGTCTTCAGCTTATATTTCTTTCTTCATGTGAGAGAGATATAATTATCAGATGCCTTCAGTTTTCTGGGGTGGCTGCTGTCAAGGAATGAGAGCCTGCTAAGTGAGGTAGAGGTGGGTTGGGTAGGAAAGATCTGTCAGAAGCACTAAAATTGACTTTGCCACCCCAGAAAAGGAGTGTTCTTGTTCTTGAGCAAAGCTGAGTTTTAGCCAGTTGATTATAAAGAAACTTTGAGTCAGTCCTGAGCAGTGGTGACTCAAAAATCAGAGGCCACGAAAATGTTTTTTTTCTTTTTGAGCATGCAATGATATTTTGTCCTCAACAGAGATTCTTATTTGTATAGGGTTGCTGAGACTATACTGGGAAAACCTGCTGACAATATTTAACATGTTGCTCAACCTACCTCTAGGATTTCCAGCTGGAGGCTACAGAAGTGTACAGCAAAGTGGCCAAGCAGCTGGTGAAGCAGCAAAAGTACAGTGAGATCCGGCAGCTACTCAAGTGTGTCAGCGAGTCTGGAGTTGCAGCCAAGAATGATGGGGATACCATTATCTTAAATTGTCTAAGTGAATTCAAGAACATACCTGCTGAGGTAATTCTGTCCTCCCTGATATCCCTTTTGAAATACAATGGTTGTATACAGCATAGGTTACAGGGACTACTCTGTAGTGCCTGTATTGCCCTTCTAGTGATTCAGATATTCTGGCATGTATTGTTTGAAGGTGGGTGTGTGTGTTTTCCTTCCTTACACTAACTTGTCTGAGAGAAAAAGATAGATTGCTGAGTGTGCTCCTGTGCTGCACTTCCCAAGTGTTTGTGATGGAGAGAGGACCTTTGTCTGACAGGACCCTGCCAAATGCTCCAAACTGGAGGGGAGGGGTTGCCTTCAGTGAAGCTTCCCTGGCTAATACAGAGTATATATGGAAACAGAAACATTCTGCCTTCATAGGAAGCCATTTTAGGATTCCTTTTATCTACCAAAGCATGTTTTCTGTCCCAGCGAAGGAAGCATAAGTCACAGAATCTCAGGTTGAAAGAGACCTCGAGAGATCATAGTGTCCAACCCCCCACCGAACAGTTACCCTACAATAGGTTGCACAGGTAGGTGTTCACACAGGTCTTGAATATCTCCGAAGAAGGAGGCTCCAGAACTTCTCTGGGCAACCTGTTCCTGTGCTCTGTCATCCTTACTGTAAAGTTCTTCTGCATGTTGGTATGGAACTTCCTGTGTTCAAGTTTTAGGCCACTACTCCTTGTACTATCGCTGCACATCCCTAACTTGGATGGTAGAATTTCTCAGGGGACAAGAGGTTGACCTCATAGTGTTCTCTAGGGAGACCCCAAAGACTTGGCAGGCAGAAGAAGCTGTGGTAAAGGGAATAATTGGGCTTTATATTTTCTACATGTGTGGTGGTGGTAGGGATAATGTAAACATTTAGCTGTGATCTCAGCAGCCCTTCCTCTAGGCAGAGCTTTGATTCCTTAAGGAATAAAAGTTTGCAAACCATTGTCACTTAAATGTGAACACATTTTTCCTTTTTGGTTACAGGACCTCGATAATCTGATTCAGGATATGGACAGTGATGAAAACAAGGTAAGTAAAATCACAATAAGAGGAATTCCTGTAGCAAGAGCTGAACAGGCCAGTCTTGAACCCCAGGATGCGTGCTCTCTTCCAGCATTTTCTCTCATCCTCACTCAAATAAAGGTTTTGAAGGCTACTTTCTAGACTGTAGAAATCAGTGAGCTGCTTAAGGCTTTGGTGTTCTCAAGTGTAGAATTGTAAGATGAAGTTATTGATGGATCTTTATCCTTAGTTCTTTGGTAGTCCTTGGAATGAGAGCTAGGCATTAGTAAGACTGGAGAAGAAGTATTTCCGAGTTAGCTCTGAGGCCATTTCAGCTTATCATTTTTTCAAGATTTAAACTACTTTCATTGTGGTAAGGAGTTAAATGATAAAATGTATAACAGAATTGAAAGTTTTTTCCTGGAGGAAACGAGGCCTGCACTAATTGATTTCTTTGTTAGCTTAAATACCCGCCTGCCAAGCCTCTGGAGAGTTGCATATAAATAAGGGAACTCTGAGTACATATTTGTAGATGAAGAGGCTGTGGGTCAGAGTTACAGAGTTTTGTAGATCCCAAGTGGCATAACTAAGGATAAAATCTTAAAATTTCTGACTTCATTCTGTCCGTTTTCAACTGGCAAACTTGCTGTTTTATGTAGATTGAAAAAATGGACTTTTAATTCTGCCTTTTATGAGTGATTTATTATTGAAATATTCATGTATTAGCTGCTCCAGAAGAACAATAGAAGAGCAGTAGAAGACAAAGACTATTTTATAATCTTTGCCATTGGTTTCTGGAAACAGTGCACAAAATAAAATTACTAATGTATATTTCTTGGTGATGCTGTAAAAGAGTTTCCATAAGAGACAAATTTAATGAAATATACATCAGCTTATCTTTTACGCTGGGATCTACATTGTGCAATACTCTGCCTCATGTTGTACTTCTACTGCCTTCTGTGACAGGCTCTTGAACGAGATAGTAATTCAGCAAATCCTTGCTTATTGTGTTAGCTTACCTTAATTTTCTAATGGAGTTCTGCCTGGCCTTTTCACTCCAGATTCAAGCCTACCTGATGTGCAACAAGTTGCGTTCTGCGTATCTGGTCTCGGTGAGACAGGAGAAGAGCAGAGCAGTGCAGCTTGTCCAGCATGTGCGCCAGCTGGCTGAGAGCAGTGGAGAAGATGTTGTGCACACTATCTGTACCCAGTGGCTCACAGTGCACCAGCCCAAAATGAGAAATCGGCTTGGACAGGGCAGCAGGAAATAACTGACATTCACCGTCATGCAGAAGGGGAAGACTTCAAGACACCTTAAAGACATCCAGTGCAGCAATCACTTGGTAAAAGGGAAGTCTTCTAACTTGTGTCAGTAGCAAATGAAAGCTGCTAGTGTGCCTCTGGCTAAAAGGAAGGGAACTAAATTACAAGTGCCAGTAATCTCACAGTCACTACCTCAGGTGTCTTTTGGCCCTCTTTGATTTGCATAGAGAGAAGGGTGGCAGTTTTAAACAGAACAAGCAAGATTTTTTAGGTCTGTGAAAGAGAGTGCTTGGGTTTTTTAGAAAGGCACTGATCTTTTTCCCTTTTTTTTATTTCTAATCCAGACAACCTGCATAGAGAAACAAAAATCTCAACAGCTCAGTGTAGCCTAGAGTATAACACTTCCCGTGATTATGGGTTTCCTTTAATATTTTTTTCAAGATTTCAGAGATCTTTTACAAAGACTGAAATCCAGAGATGGTTGTTTTTAAAGCCTCTGTACAAACTATTGCTCACTTCTTTTTCCCACTCCCACCCACTGCAGTATGCTCAACTTCTTTTGTAGTTTGTTGGACAAAGTACAAATTGATTCTTCATGGCAGGTTTCTACTTCCCAGTTGCACTGTCTGATAAACATATTGCACTTGAGTCCTTACAAAATGGATGAAATTGTGTGGCATATCCTGCAAAGGGCCTACAAAGGGAAAAATCCTTTAAAATAGTTTTTAAAAATCACCTACCTCTTTCTTTGCTGTAATATCCAATAAAATGTTGTGATGCAGCTTTATCACTGAGCAGATGCCAGTGAACTTTAGATATGGCAGAAAATATGGAAAGATAGAGCTGTGGCAAAATTCAGCAGTCTGTATTCCTGTCACACAGGAATTTTAGTTTTTTTTTCTTATGAGAATAACCTGTTCCTGTCAGGTACAGCAGAATGCATTAACAAGACATACTGTGTATATTATAATGCCAGGCTGGAGTGTGTTAGGATGTGTGAAAAGGCAGTATTTTATAATGCAAGGAATGGAACAGTGGCTTCTGTGCTAAACTTGTGTGTGTGGTGAGGTGCTTACTGTGACAAGAAACAGAGCAGAGTTCTTAGGTTTAATCAGCAAACATCTTTGTGTCATTTCTGTGTTGAAGGATGCTGAAAGAAGCAGCTGCTGCTCTGCAGCGATGACTTGGGCATGTGAAATGAGCACAAGAAAGATAGACAGCAGTAGGATCTTTTAAAAGAAACCTTGGCCACAAGAGTTTGTTTGCAGTTGATTTTTACTTCAGCACGAGATGGGAAAACTAGTTCACTTTTGTTGTTAACTGTTTAACATTTGACTGACTTTTGAAGAAACAGAACAGCTTCTGCAAATAGTTTTAGTACATAGAATAGCTGCGACTGTCAAGTATGGGTTTTGTAATGTCCCCAGACTCGGTGCAGTGACAGAACAGACTTTGATAGCATTGGGAAGGACTTGCTCCATCCCCTCTGGGTGCTCCACTGCTACCACCATCTCTCCCAGAGGCACACTATTCACTAGAGCAGGGCTAGAAATGTCTCTAAGCTAAGTCGTCAGAAATGACCACATTTAGATGTTAGAATCTCCCAATCACAGATTTGCACGATCTCATTAGTGAGCAGTACCAATGAAAGCTGCTTTTGTTTTCCTGGCCAGACTGACCTAGCTTGCCATCAGCTTAGAGCTGTTAGGCTAATCCTAAAACGTGACACTATCCATCTATTTGATGACTTCTAGCTCTCTAACTATGGGGGGAGGTTCTACTGTTCATGGGTATCCAGTTATGCTTTGCTGTAACACTGTTCTGCTCCAGTTCCTTACAGCTGTATAGAGCACAGAGAGCAGAGTTTGTCATGCAGACCAGTCAGTTCTGTACCTGCCTTTCCTCTCGACTTCTTTGCACTGTACTTTATGCACTTTATAGTGTTTGTTGTAATTTGACGTTCTTAACCTGGAATTGTAGGGAATGTTTCTCTTACCAGCAGAACTGGAATTTTGATCCTGACCAACTGCCTTTTGTCATGAATAGTGCAATTATCAATGGTTTGAATTTTTTGACCTTCAGAAATGGATTGAGTACTGCCAGTTTGAAAACTTTCTATAGAAATGACCGTGGGCTGTTTACAATGGGGGGATGGAAAGGAGAATAAAGTATTATGACTGAAAGTTTCAATATATCTTGTTTGCTTTTCACCTCAGCATTTTTAGCCAAGTCTTTTGTTCTAGATCTGTGTTTTTTTTTAATGTGACTATGCTCACCAGATGAACTACAAGGGGAAGAATTGCTGTCATACCAAAATGTGCCTTTGCTATAATGTTCTGAATACTTAAGAGCAACTGTGCTATCATCACCTCTTCAGAGGTCACCTCGGTAGCTAGCTCGGCTTATACATGTACTCTGGCAGACCAGTAATTCTCTTCAGGCAGCTTTGCAAGTTAATGCAACTCTCCCTTACAATACTCCCTTTAAGGCAGCTAAATGAGCTTAAGCTCTCATTTTACAGATCAACCTATAAGGTATAAATGACTTAGCCAAGGTCAGAGAGGAGGAGACATCCCTCTACAGTAATATGTAGTTAGGTCTCCTAGTGACTCTAGGATCTGATTCATTTGTTTGAGAAAAACACTGACCTAGAAGGGGAAAATATGGCCTAGAGATGCTTTCTGCTTTTTTTTAATGGTTACTGTTGTTCCTGAAAGCCCCTTTGATCAGAGCCTGCATGGTATGTAAACAATCTACTGCTACAGTGTTGTTGAGGGAGGAAAAAAGGTCAAGCACAGGGAGAAACAGAAAGGGACTTCAGAATATAAGCTAATTTTTTTTTTTTTTTTACATTAGTAAGGCAGTGCAAATATCAGCAAAACAAATGAATTGCATCGTTTCTGAAGAAATTGTCTTCAGAAAATTGCTGTAAAAAGGAAATGGCTTTATTTAGTATTGATCAGAGGTAGTGTGGGACTGATGTACGTGGATAGCTTCCAGACATCATTAATCATAACGTGAGTATTTGCTTCCCAACACTGGCAGTTGGTCAGAGGAATGTTCGGACATGGGTCTAAATACTTCTGGATTTTTTTTTCCAGAAAAAGATAATCCTGTGAACTATGGCACTTGTTGAGTTAAGCAGGTAAAAAAAACTTTTTCAGAAATAATCTTGGATTATGCGTCCCATCATATCAATTTTCACTAGAGCTCCAAGGGAGTAAGCTCATGAGGACGTGGATTGACTGAACTGCCTTTTGACTGTGCAGGCTGTATGGTACAGTGAGGTCAGGCTGGGAGCCATGGCCCATAACTGCTCGGATTTGTTTTCTTTTTCTGTCCTGTGACTAAACTGACCATAATATCAGGATAGCACTGGCCCCTGCTTCAGCTATTTAGCTCAAGGTAGTTTGCTGTCAAAGCAAATTCAATGCTAAAGCCTCAGTGGAAATTAATTGTTGTTTTTCAGTGCAGTTAATTTTCTTTTTAATTAAATCTTTTTTCCAGGTTTGTAAATCACTTAAGTACAGCTTAAATTTTATTAGGTCAAGTTTTATACCATCTTTTTTAGTGTTTCACAGCACAGATTGTTAACTGTTTTGAATAAAATAACTAGCTATTGCCCAATTTCATCATTCCTGCAGGTTTTAACCTTCCAGCCAGCTGCATTGACAGCTGTGTTCCCAAAAGATGAACCACCTTACTTCACAGGCTAGAGGTGTTTAGAGAACATGGAAAATGCTTGATCCTAGTTAGGCCAGCAGTTGTTTTTGTGTGTTTGTGAGCATTTATATTACACATAATTGCCAGAAACATGAATACTTGTACTCTGCCATGTCAAATATTAGGAACAAAAAATGACCTTGTAAAGCTAGTTAGTGTACTAACTTTTTACTATTACTGGTATGGAAAGAGAGACTAAAGCAAAAAGCAACTTCCAATACAGGTGATCTAAAGCTAAGATGATAACCTCCATTTCTATTCTAAAGCCACAGGACAACAGCCTCTAGCTGTTGTGAGTTACCAAAGGTTGCTCACAGTATTGGTGTTCTAATCTCCAGCTACAAAACGGATGCTTTGCTTTCTAATCTCAATCCTTAAGAGTAACATTCCAGAAGCTCGTACTGGACTGCATCCACAGAACCATCACAAGGGCAGCTGAAGTACCAGTGTTCTTGGCAGCAGTGCTCTTCCCAAGAGTAGCATCACTGGGCTCAGCCAGGTACACACAAATGGCTGCGCTGCTCAGTCCCACTGGATGCCGAGGAGCTCACAGCTCACGTTCCAGAGCTTCTTTGCTGTCTCATCATCCCGACCCCATGGAGATACATATGCTGGCTGGCAATCACTGTAAGAGGAATACTATTATTATTATTATTATTTTTAATCAAAGATCTCTAGCTGTACACTGAAATGGCTATGATCAAGTGAGGGAATTGCTTTTAATCCATGAAACTTCAAGACCAAGTAAAGAAGGGTAGGAAGGGTGGGAGCTAGGTTGGGAAGAATCTTTCCCAGTGGCACCAAAAACTAGCAACTGAGTCTAGCTCTATCTGCCATCTTCATGTTTACTGAACTTCACATATAGTCTGCTGTATGCTCATCAGTGTGAGTTCTCATTAGTATTACTAAAAAAGGTTATAAATGCTAACCAGGCTGTGCAGGAGTACTTCTCTAGCAAATTATAACTAAGCTACTCAAACAGACCTTTGTTCTAAACTGGTTATCCCCTCCTATTCATCCCACTGCACTGCCACTGCATGAAATGCAAAGCTGCCTCTGAATATAATACTGTAATAACCATATATGGTTTCACATTAATGCCATTTCCATTATCCTCTGAACTACAACCCCTTTCTTCTCAACTCCTGCAATCAGGCAGTACATTGTTTAGACTAGGAATTGTGCATTCTCATCTGTAATGCTAGATGCTGCATGTTACATAGAAATTTGAGAACAAATGAAATTGCATCTGATGAAATTTAAGATTTCTATCCATTCCAGTGTTCTTATATCCCAAAACACACAGTTTCTGATGCTCCTGAAGACTGGCAGGCTGCTTGTTTAATATACATCATTGCCTGGAAAGTTGAGAGGCTTTCTGGCCAATCCAGTGTAAAACCAGGCCTGTGTGAGATTTACTCTGAAAGCTATTCTTTTCCAATCAAGTTCAAAACTCTGCTTTTTTATGATTTTCAAAATCTACCAAAACTTTCTGTACTCTAGTGCAGTACCCCACTTCTATTCTCAGAAAAAGAGTGAGTCTTGCACAGAAGATTAAGGCATCTATTTATATATTCAAGTCCGATTAAGATAAACGAATACCCAAGTGAAGATCAAAGTCATTACAGAGACTAATCTGGTTGCTTATCATAAGAAAGGAGAGCTCCGAAAAGAAGCAAAGGCTCCAGTATTGCTGTTGCAAAGGCGACAGTATTTTTGGGGGGGAAAAAAGCCTATGTATTGTTATACTGCTCTACACCCAGCAAGAAGCTGACGTACACAGCTAAAGGAAACTGTTGAAATTGCAGTTTCTACATTTAGGATGATGATGATGTAGAACTGTACTGAGCTGTAGCTTTCTTAAGAGAAAAGGCATGATTATGGAGTGTCCTGGAGTAGGTGAAAGGAAATTAAGAAACAATCAGGTTTGTAGACAGAGCTACAACTAATAGTTTGCAGGCAAGAGTGATAAGCATTCCAGCAGGAGGCTCTTGTAGCTGATGGTCTGTCACACTGGAGAATTGAGTTATTTTTGTCATGTGCCGGTCCTGAAAATCTTACCTCCTAGCTCTGCAACACCACCAGACCTCCCCTCTCTTTGGATGCACAGGCCCTTTTTGCTCCTAGAGGGTAAAACTAAACTATCTCTCCCTGACTGCCTTATATGACCTCATTAACTAAACAGCAATCTAAGGATTTGAGTGCTACAACTGTGACAGCCTTTCCTGCACCTGGAGTCCAGAAATATTCCTGGCACGAAATAAAGTGTTGCATAGGTCAGGGATCCTTTCTAATGAACTATCCTCTTCAAGAAATCTAGACAGGATAGAGCTCTAGTATTTCTCTCACCCTCAATCTTACTGGAATGAGTTATACCAACCACTTATGTAGTCTCTTCTTAATGACAGTAATACTCATTTTCTCATCCAGAGAGGTTTCCTTCCATGGTATGTCACTCCATCAGCTTGTACCTACCTGAAATATTGTCCTGTCACAGATTCTAGCTCCTCTGCTACTGCACAGTACACACTGGTCTGAGCTCCTTCCCATGGAGTCTTCAAGAAGAATGAGAATATCCTCCACAGCCACGTCATTACAAATGAGTGCCGGACCAGCTCAGAATGGACAGAGCCAGGATGGAGAGAGTTTGCTGTGACTTTTGTACCTATGGTAAAAGAAAGTAGCCCAGGACAAAATGAATGTGTCAGATTGCCTTTAAACAGTGGACTAAGATCTTCCTCAATTCCACCTGCAAATATTCTGCAACTTACAGGAGAACTGCTGTAGATAAAAGGAGTATCAGTAAAACTCTTAGTGCTACTGCTTTCTGGAGCACTCCCTTGTCCCTTCCAAGCAGTGCTGTCACTACATGTCTTCTGCACAACAGTGTACCAGGGAGCCTGATGCTCAGACAGCAACAATTTCTGTTGGGCCCTTGACAGCAAGAGATTTCTTTGATTTACTGTACTACAATTAGAGAAGATACTGCTTAAGTTTAGGAACAGGATTGAATAACAAGGCTGATACATATATTGTGACTTAAGAGCTACTGTCTAGCCCTGTGCTTCTATTTTACAGCCCTTCACCATTGAAGGCAGCTACAATTGCCTGAGTTTGTCCACAGCAGATTGCAATTCGATACAAGTTCAATTCCTTTGTTGTTGTTTTTCCCTCTTCAAATTCTACTCACATAGCACAATTGTGTGCTTAGATACAGCCAGTTTTTGACAAGTGCCAAATTAAAATCAAATCCATTCAACTGTGTCAGGCAACTGACCTCTCATGCCCTGTTGCTGTTAAGACAGTACAGTTTCCTAGTTCCACAGATGAGATACTTTTTCCCTTCCAACAGATAGCTGTCAGTGACCCTTGTCTCAAACCATTTCATTTTTGCACAGGGATTTTTTTCAACCCATCCTCCTCACCCACACTGCTCAAAAGCCAAGGAAACCACTCCACTCTGTGCTGGGACTTGCCTTGCAGCCGCCTTGCCAGCTCTCGGGTGAAAAGGACATTGGCCAACTTGCTGTGACAGTAGGCGAGGCCACGATTGTAGCTCTTCTCACCATTGAGGTCATGGAAGCGGATTCGGCCTCCGTGATGAGCCAGTGAGGACACGTTCACAATGCGGGATGGTGCTGACTGCTTCAGACGTTCCAGTAACAAGAAGGTTAAAAGAAAATGACCTGGGGGCGAGAAGACATTCAGTTCTTCTCTGAAGGGTTCCCCCACTGGGATTACAAAGTACTTTCAATGTGCTGATTATGAGCTATAGCTTTCCTCCTTCCATTCTACCACAAGAAGGAAAAATGAAAGCACCTGGAAGCAGGATTTCCCACTGGCATTTTTCCAGAGATATGAAAAACTGACTCCACTGGCCTTACCAAGATGATTGACTCCCAGGTGCATCTCAAAGCCATCGGCTGTCTTGGAGTAAGGGCATAACATTACCCCAGCATTATTAATGAGGATATGGAGTTCCTTCTCTTCTGCAAGAAAGGAAAAAAAGACATCAGTCATTAAATACAGAGATGGAATACAGACAGACATAAGTCAGACAAAAAAGAAAACCCATGTCCAAGTTGCAGCCACACTGCCTCTGTAAAATAAGGATAACTCTCCACCAACTCACCCATGGCCTCCGGCAAGCCCCTGCTGTGAACCACAACAGCCAACATGACACAGAGATGCATGGGTCAGAAATCTAAAAATCCCTGGCACCAGAACAGAACCCCCTTCTTGCCTGAAGACACCAATAATAACAGAGGGTGGAGCTGCCCTCTCATTTTTCTGCCTTTGCTCAGAATAGAGATTGTTGCACAGAACAATTCCAGATACCACAAATGAAATCCATACAACAAAGGGGAAGATGCTTTCAGAGTCACATCAGCAGCATGCGGCATTGTACAACACCCTCAGTTTCTGCCTTTAAAACCCATGATATGCATGTGGTCACACAGGAAGTCAACAGCAGTGTAGGAACAGAGCAGGGCAATACTCCTCCCAAGGTACGCTGTTGTACCCCTTCCTTAGCTCCAGAGAGCAGACAGCAGTTGCTGGCAAAATATGCACACTGAAAAAAAGGACCCAGAGGTCTTACCTGCTAGAAAGCTGTTAGCAAACTCCCGGATGGACTTGGTATCGGCCAAGTCCAACTTTTTCACAATGACTTCCTGATTGTCTGTCTCAGCTCGGATTTCACGTGCTGCAGCTTCTGCCTTCGCTACGTCTCTGCAGGCAACAATCACCCTCGCGCCTGCAAGGAGGAAAAAGCAGAACACAAGCGGATGTCACTGGGAGCACAATGCATGGCCAGGGCTTGACAAGAGCTGACCACTCAGCGCTTACAATGTATTGTTTCCTATGGAACTGACTTCTTCAGGGGAGAAGCCGACAAGCACAAAAACTCTTCTCACAGATTGTTAGCTCCAAGCCTGCCCAGACCTGTTTTCAGACCAGAAAAACGCACATCTGAAGTCCCTCTGTCCAGCTTCTCCCAGGTCAACTGAGTGCACCGCAGCCCTGGTATGGCCAGTTTGTACGTGTGGCACTAGGGCCTAAAGCACACAGAGATGCTTGGGCTCCAGACAGAGCAATTTCTAACATGGGTAGTTTCACTGCCTTGATAGTTCCACAAAACATGTAAACCAGTTTTGAAACGTGAGTAACTGAAACACACAGCAGCAGATCTGAGCCATTTCCCTGCCCCAAACAAGGAGAGCCCTGTGGCTCCAGGCACTTGCCTGGCCCTCTCCAAGTGCCTGTAGTGCTGAATATTTCCACATGCTGAGACACGGTGCCAGGGCTCAAGCAGTGAAGGCAGCTGAGAACTGGGGAGCTGCACTTCAGGAGTTACAGCCCTGTCTGCGGGACCTTCAGAAGGTGGCTCTTAGACGGAATCGCGGCCCCAGGCTCTCTAAGTCCGGGGGCCGTCAGGCTCCGCACCGCGATGCGTGGTGCCAGATCACATCAGTTCCAATTAGCACCGTCTCTTCTAACTGCGGTTAAGCCAGGAGAAGGGATTAGCAGCCGCTGCGGGGCACCGACTGCGCAGAGAGAATCACACAGTGATCCTGCCTCGGGCGCAGAGGGGGGAGCCGCACCCGCTCGCAGCGTGACGCCGACTTGCCTCTCCGGGCGAGCTCCCTGGCGGTCTCTTTCCCGATGCCGGTGTTGGCGCCCGTGATCACCGCCACCTTCCCGTCCAGCCTGGCCGCGGACCTGCACCGCCCTCCGGCCACGTACCGCCTGCAAGAGAGCGGCGGGACTCGAGGGCGGCTCCGACCTCGCCAACCGCTTCGGGCACCGCGGCACGGCCGGCCCGGGCCCGCCGCGACGCCCCGCTCCGCCCGCGCCGGTGGGGCCACGGCTCCCATTGGCTGCCAGCGGGGCTCCGAGCGCCGCGGCCAATGGGCTCCGCGCGGCGCCGTGGGGCGAACCCGGGCCACGGGCGCCCGACCGCCCCGTGCCGCGGCCGCCGCCGGCCCCTCGACGGGAGCGGCGCGGGTCGGCTGCCGCCACTCAGATGCCGCCGCCGGAGCGGCGCTGACAAAAAAGCCCTTTGCGTTTCTCCTCCCCCCAGCAAAGAGCCGCAGGAAGCAGCCCAAACGCGAACCCCGGCGGCACGGAGCCCCCCGCGCGGCTCCCCCACAGCACCTGACGTAGGGCGCTGCCGCCAGCATCAGGAGGGGCACGGACACGGCGGCGCCCAGCACCGCGCCCCAGCAGCTCGGCATCGCCGCCGCCTCCATCCACGCCGCGTCCGCACTGAGCGCGCCCGGAAGAGCCGAGCCCGCCTCGCCCGGGACCGGTGGGCGGAGGCCGCGCGCGGGGCGGGCTGAGGGCGGGCCGAGGGCGGGCCGGAGCGCCGTGAGGCGGGGCCGTGCCGCGGCCGCGTGCGGCCCCGCGACTACAGCTCCCGGCGGGCGGCGCGCCGCGAGGCTCTCGCTCCGCCCCGGCTGCCGCGGTGCCGCCCGGAGCCGGCCGCCGTCGGGCAGCGCGCGGACGCCGCACTGCGCAGGCGCGGGACCCCGCGGCCGATGGCGGAAGCGCGGCCGGGCAGCGGCGCGTAGCCCCGAGTCGGCGGGAGGCGGCCGCTCGCCATGGCGATCCGCGGCCCCGCGTCCTCGGAGCACCTGGAGCGGCTGCACGAGATCTTCCGCGGGCTGCACGGGGAGCTGCGGCGCGTGCCGGAGCGGCTGCGGGGCGGCGCGGCGGGTGAGGCGGGGCGGGGCGGGGCGGGGCGGCTCCGTCCCGTCGCTTTGGTCGGCTTCGCGGAGGCTTCGTCCGCGGCGCGCGGGAGGACCGCGGTGCGGCGAGGCTCCACGGCCCCGCCCGGCGCTGCCCGAGCCGCGGGGCTCGTCTGGGCCCGCTCCTAGCGCCCGGGATTCGCTGACGCTCTCGGCCGCGGGCGTAGCGGAGAAGGGGAAGCGGCCGCCCCGCTGCGGGGAGCGCCGCCTGGCTGCGAGTGAGGAGCGGGGGCGGCGGCGCTGCGGCAGCGCGGCCCTCAGGCCGCCCGGTGGCCGGGCCGGCCTCCCTCTGCGCCTCGAATGGCTCCGTGCCGCGGTTGGGTGTAAAGTCACCGACCTGAGAAGCGGCGGAATGCTCGCAGCGCAGCCGTCTGCGTGCTCAGTGACGCCGGGCTTTGAGTAGTGCAACGTTCCACTTCTTTTCCGAGTTTCAGTCTAATACCGAGTTAAGTTGAGGGTCGCCATCCTTGTCGTTTCCAGAAGGTACAGCGGGAGAAAGACTTTTAAAACTGTCAGTCGCAGCTTTCAAGAGGAGCGTGGCTGGAAGGAGGAACAGACTGCCCAGAGAAGCTGTGGAGTCTCCTTCTCCAGGGATATTTAATACCCTCCTGAATGCTTTCCCTTGCGACCTGCGGGGAACCTGCTTTAGCAGGTTTAGTTGGACAGGGCGATCCCCAGAGGTCCTTTCCAAACCCTACAGTCGTGTGATTCAAAGCTGCCTTTATTTTGCTGGCAGTCACCAAGAAGGAAAAGCATAAAGGAAGGAATACCCTTTTGTGGAGAAGTTTGATCTGGGCATCATTTCCATAAAATTAGTGGGAGGTGGTTGCAGGGAAGGGTGAGGTTTTTTGCTGCCTTGAAATGCAAACTCAGCCCTTTTCTTGGGAAAAGAATGGGGAGAGGCCACCCTCACACACATAGAAAAAATACCCCAGAACACCTGAGTTTCAAAGAACAGAAATTTCTAGTAGAAAATTCTCATTTCCTTGCAGAAAAGAGAGTGATCAGTTTTGTAGAAAAAAGCAAACCTTTGCCAGGTCTCTGGATCTGTGATATTTCCAAAGAAGGAATTTTGAGCTGTAGCTTTAAACAGAATATTGACAGGCAACCATTTTTTCCATGCTTGAAGATCATAAACGGACTGCAAACTGATTTTTCAGGCATGCTTTGAAATGTTAATATGATGGATTTATCCCTCAAATTTGTGGCTGAAAAAAGAACAATACTGTTTTTGGGAAGTATTAACAAGGGAGTTCAAGTGAAGTCAGGAATCTCTGGTGAAGGCATTTGTAAGGCAGTTTGCTGCCTGTGCACACATGGGTCTTCATTTTTCGCACTGTCATGAAAAGTCTGTGGGACAATAAATGGTGTCCTGTGTACTCCTTTGAGATGACTGGTACCTTCCCAGACTGCAGGGAGGACAGAATGTGTCATTATCAGGCCATCGTTCAGGGGCAGAAGTGTGGAAATGTTATCTCATTCTTCGTGAACAAGATAATAAATTCTCAGATCTGGAACCAAGCATTTTCTTCCTTCCTAACTTGTAAGAAAGCATTTTAAACAGCATCAGTCAGTTTCAACTGTAGATACTGTCCTCTGAGCAAATAGTTAGCTGTCTTTTTCAATTGATTTCCATTGATTGAAATGAAATCTCATAGATGTTGATGAACACGTGGGTGATATTTCTGTGGCTGAAGTGCAGTGCTGTACTGATCCGATTGAGGGCACCCAAAGAGGGTAAAATACTGCTTTAGGTCTCAATTGGTTCGAGACAGCAGCAGTTGTTCTAAGAGGACACTGGATTCACCAAAGGAGTAAAGTGACCTGCACGAACAGAATAATGACTTTAGAAAGTTGTTTGTTGTTGTGTGCCCATGTCCTCGCTAGCAGACTGGCTGTTCAAGCAGTTGCATCAGCACAAACGTGCATGGCAGAAAAGCAGGGGAGGAGCTGAGAGCAGTCAATTTAGGAACCCCCTAAGTCAGCATTTCCTGCAGTGTGGAACTTATTCTGTCTTAAGTGCACTAGAGGTCAAGCTCAGGGGTTAGTGGGGATTTGAACTGAAAGGGAAGGGCCCTGGTGTGGGCATGGCGCATCCACAAGATGAGCTGTTTTTAAGTGTTTTGATCAAACAACCAATGTCATTCCTGAAAAGAGAAGTATTTGGACAACCTGATCTGGTGTATTGATGGTGTCTTCAATCTCAGAGCGCTCTGTAGGGTGCTTGTCTTGTTTGAGTGGCTGTTTTTAAAAGACTGCAAGGATGCAAAACCCCGATTTGCTGGAAATCAAGATTTCAAGTTCTGCACTAATTTTGCCTGAGCTTATCTCACGTGTTGCTTTCTCTTCTGCAGAGGAGAAGAAAAAGCTAATTCGGGAGTTTGATGAGAAACAGCGCGAAGCAAATGAAACGGTAAGCTTAAGTCTGGCACTGTGGCCTTTCTGGCCAGTTAAAATGTTGATTGCCTTAAAATGGACAGTATCCCAAGTTTTACTTTAATGTTTACTTTAATGTTGGCAGGCAAATGTTGTAATTTTTAATTTATTTGATTCATTGGTGTGATTAATGTGTCTGTATTTGTATATAGAGAGATGCAGACAAGTACTCACGCTTTTTGGATATTGCCTTCCCTTTGTTGAACAAAGGAGAGTGGTAGAGCTGCAGTTAGCATTGCTGGAGATTGCAGACAGGTCACACAGGGAATCTGCTTTATGGTTTTTTTTAGTTGTTGTTTGGTGTTTCTTTGTTTTTTTGCTGCCTTACCCTCACATTAGTGTTAACCCACATCTTTCTGCAATAATCTGGTGAATGGCCAAATGTCAGGGACCTTAAATGTTTGCAGCCTCTGTTGTATAGGCTTCCTGGGCAGCAGGTGACATGGGACAGAGCAAAAAAACCCAAGGACTTGTCTTTCTAGCCAAAGCTGCATCACGCTTTGTTTTCTTACTGATGTGCTCCTATGCTGACTTCTAGCACGATGAGGGTTGTTTGCTTGTTTTGTTTTACCGCAACAGTTGCAACAGAAATCTCCTCTGGCTCTTTTTAGGATAACTGTTTCTGATAGGTTATGCATTTATTTTCATGTTGCTCACTTGCACTTCCGTACAGCTGTTTGCAGCACCAGACAGTTGTTCTTAATGTACTCTGTCAGTACTCATGTACTGAAAAGTTATGCTTTCAAAGCTATGCTCTTTCCCTTTTAGTAGGATAAAGTTTGGTTGAATATTTGAAGTGCATCTTAATAGATGTGAAAACAAATCTCTTACAGTGAAAGTAAAGCAAGTACCAATAGAAATGGCAGACTGAGGGTGGGTTTGAGTCACAGCTGGGACTGGATTTTTGAGGTGTATCTATGTAGATTCTGTCTCATATTGGGAGACAGAATTAAGCGTTGTGAATTCATAACAGCTATCACCAGAAGTTGATAATTAATGCACCCAGAATCTCAGAGTATGCAGATCCAGTAGACAAACTCAGTGTGTGAGCTGAGCAGCTTGCCTACCTGTGCAGTAGATATACAGTGTGATCTGTTATCTACCCTACAGATGCTTAAACGGTATGAAAGTGAGATCTGTGAGTTTTGAAGTTACAGAGGAATGTTTCAGAAAATATCAGTCTTTAACATTGACAGTGAATTCTTTTTCTTGAGGCACTGTACAGCTGAAACCCCAGGCAGGTTGAATTACATTGGGAGAGTGGTGTAATTGATACTGGGTGAGGGGCATGGGGTTAATCCTTTCCCCCCCACACCCTGTATCACATAAGAACGTGTGACTCCCTTCATCTAGTGATGAGTTCTGGGTACAGCTGCTCATAAGAATAAATTTGATGCTGTAAAATAAATTTTCTTTCCTTTAAGCTCCGGGAAATGGAAGAAGAACTGAAGTATGCTCCTCTACCGTTCCGCAATCAAATGATGAGCAAAATTCGGGCATACAGAAGGGACCTCTCCATGTTCCAGAGGGAGATAAGAAGCACAGATTTGGGATTGGGTCCCGGAAGTCAAGGCGATATGAAATACGGAATCTTTTCCACAGAAAATGAACAGAGTGTGAGCATCTGGTAGAAACTGTGTTCAAACCTTCTGTGATTGTTTACAATAATGTTTCAGATACATTGCTTACAGTGTTTCCACTTTAATCCACTTGCTTTCTTGTATAACTGTCTGTGTATCTCTTTGTGTGTAACATGAGCATCTTGGGAAGAAGAAAGGCTTGGTACTCATGAGAAAGCTTTTCTGTTCTAAAACACAGATACGAGTGTAATCAAACCAATGTGTGGTTGGTTACCTATGCAGTGTATGTTTAAGAGACTTGTTAAGGGTATTGAAATACTTTATTTAATCACTGCCCTGATGAGAAGAATGGTAAGCTGATCTCAATTTTAACTCCAAAAAGGGATGAAAGTCACATACACTATATAGGTTCTTCTGTAGTGTCTTCTCTTAAGCAATCTCAGTTTTTTTATACTTTCTGGAAACTATTTTGTCTTCCTCTATATTGTACAGTATGGCTGTGTTGCTGCAGAGCAAGAAATACAGTGGTTTACCACATCTGTTTAGGTA